ATGAAACGAATTTTTAGTAGTTTATATTTATTCAAGCGAATAAACAGTTGTATTTTGGCGAATTAGGAACAGTTTTATTTTATTTTTATGGAGTAAGTAAGTGAAAATGGTTGTTCTATTAAACCAAGTCTACAGGGAAAAGGACGCAAAAAAATTCTTCACACATAAAAGGAATGTGGATAATTTTGCTAGGTAAGTGCTTCATAATAAAATTTATGATTTTAGACTTGTGCGACAAAGTAAAGTCGTCCGAGAAGCGCAACTCAACAATATTGGCAATACCATTTTAAAGTCGTCTACTTTAAAATATATAATGTATGTCTGAATTTTCAATAACAACGAGTCAGATAAAATTAAATCGTTAGAAGAATTTTTCACCAAGTAACAAAAAAAAAACAAAATTTGTTTAATTTACTAATGTTTGTATTTTGAGAACGATTTCCGAAGTGGAAATTGAAACCTCAATAAACGTATTTTAACCTTTAATTGCGGCTTCTTAAGGTGCCTTCTCCATTACTGAAGGTTGGCTATAACTACAGCAAATTGCTCTCTATCTTGAGCTGTTCTTAGTATCGCATGTGTGTCCATGCCTGTCCAGTCTCTTATGTTCTTCAACCAGGAGCATTTTCTTCTTCCTGGACCTCTTCTTCCTTCCACTTTCCCTTCCATTATAAGTCGTAGGAAGTTGTATTTTTCTCCTCTGTAGATATGTCCTAAATAACTCGTTTTTTCGGTTTTTTACAATATTTAGGAGTTCTCTGTCAGTACCCATTCTTCTTAGCACCTCGTTGTTGGTCACGTGCTCTGTCCAAGAGATCTTCAGCATTCTTCGAAAAACCCACATCTCAAAGGCTTCTATACGCCTCATACTTGTAATTCCGAGAGTCCATGTTTCCACTCCGTATAGCAATATGGAATAAATAAACGTTTTTACAAATTGGTATCGGATGTCCAACGATAACGTAGAGTTTATTAGAAATTTTTTCATTCGCTGAAATGCGGACCTAGCATATTCTATACGAGCACGTATTTCGACCTCGTGGTCAAGATCGTTTGTTATCCAGCAACCAAGATACTGGAATCTTTGTACTGGTTCTATATGTTTGTTATAGATACGAATATTAATGTCGACATTTGGTGCACGTGTAACAGCCATCACTTTTGTTTTATTTGTGTTTATATTTAGTCCCAAGCTATCTCCCTCTCTGGTTATGACATTCAAAAGTCGTTGTAAACCCTCAGCACTGTCCGCAATAATGACGGTGTCGTCTGCGTATCTTAAGTTGTTTACGTATTCTCCGTTGATTTTTATTCCTTCTTCAATATTTTCGAGGGCATTTTGAAAGATCTTTTCGGAATATATATTAAATAACAGTGGAGAAAGTACACAGCCCTGACGAACTCCTCTTTTTATTGGCAATTCTGCTGTCAGACGATTGTCTATTTTGATAGATGCCATTTGATCCCAATATAGTTTTTTAATAAGTGCTACAGTGTTATGGTCTATACCATGTTGTGTTAGGGTTTCTATGAGTTCTGTGTGTTTTAACTCGATCAAACGCTTTTTCGTAGTCGATAAAACAGAGAAAGACGTCTTTTCGCTGATCTCGGCATTTTTGTAGTAATACCTGGAGGCCAAATAATGCCTCCCTTGTACCAAGCCCCATACGAAATCCAAATTGATTGTCGCTAAGGTTTCTTTCGCATTCTCTGTATATTCGTTGATGTACAATTTTGAGTAAAATTTTCAGAAAATGGCTCATCAGGCTAATTAATCTGAACTGTGAGCATCTATTTGCTTTATTTTTTCTTGGGTATAGGTATAAATGTCGATCTAAGCCAGTCTTCTGGGAAGATTCCAGTGGTATATATTTTGTTAAATAATATTGTTAATGTCTGAAGATTTTCTTCATTGATGAGCTTTATCATCTCTACGTATATTTCATCTGGACCTGAGGCTTTTCGTGACTTTGCCGTATTGATTGTTTTTGTAACTTCAGATGTTAATATATCAAGTATTGTTTCTTGTACTATATTCATTTGTGGTTCTGTTCTCTCGTCATCAAACAGATCTTCGATGTATTTTTCCCACATGTCTCCTACTTCTTCTGGACTAGATACTATTTCGTTGTTATCATCTACTAAAGTTGTTGTAGTGATTTTTTTCTTCATATTTGTGACTTCCTTAATCTTTTTGTAGGCATTAAAGTAGTCATGCTTTTTTAGTAAATGTCCCAGTTCCTCACACTTGCTGCTCATCCATTCTTCTTTGGCTTTCCTAATTTTGTTTCGGATGATTCTCTGGGTTTCTTTATATTTTTCTACATTACGATTTTTGTAAGATCGCCTTATGTCCATCAGTTCTAGGATTTCTTCTGTCATCCATGTATTCTTTGTTTTTCTGGTGCTGTCTTGTAGTTGTTCTCTTTGTATAGTTGTCATCGTTGTTTTGAAGGTGTGCCAAATACTTTCTATTGTCTCTTCTGCTTCCGCGGGGGTTTCACTGAACTTTTCTTTGAGTGTATCATTGAGTTTTTTCTCTATTTCTGCCTGTACTATTGGGTCTTTAAGTTTTTCTAGGTTAGGTTTTATATTCTTTCTGTATTTGATTTTTTTTAGTCTAATTAAAATTTTACCAACAACAGGATTGTGGTCGGAACCGATGTCCGCCCCGGGATATGTTTTAACTCCCTTGATTCCATTTCTATAACGTTTCTCAATTAATATATAGTCAATCTGGTTTCTTATTATGCGGTTTCGATTATCGCCAGGTGCTTTCCATGTATATAACCTTCTTTTGGGTTGTTTAAACCAGGTGTTTGCGATCATTAGATTTTCTTCTTGGCAAAATTGGACCAGTATTTCTCCTCTATCATTTCTTTGGCCCAAACCAAAGTTTCCTACTACGTCTTCGGTCCGCCCTTCACCTACTTTGGCATTTAAAATCTCCCATAATAATGTTTACAGCATTTTTCTTTGTGATCTTCATTAGCTGCTTGATCTCTTGGTAGAATTCTCGTACTTCTCTTTCTGGTTTTTTCTGCTGTAGGAGCATACACTTGAATAAGGTTAATATTACGCGGAGTGGTATTAATTTGCAGCATAGCTACTCTATCAGATATAGGTATAAAGTTCTTTATACATTTACTGCTTTTCTGGCTTATTCTGGCTTATTCCCATTTAAATAGCAACTACCATTATGAGGTCTTGCTGACAGAGGATAGATGTAGATTCCAAGAGATTGAAATGAAAGAAATATCGGAACATACACAAATAATTGAGATAATAACTGGAGAGTTAGCGATGTCCTCAAAAGATCTAAAAATGGTAAAGCAGCAAGACCTATAGACATCCCAATTGGGTTAGTGTAGTATGGACCAAAAATATTAGATGAGATGTTGGTTCAACTATTTAACAAATGCTTAAAAGGACAAAATATACCTAATGATTGAAATATTGGATGCATCAGCTCAATATTTAAGAAAGGGGATAAACGCAAGTGCTCTTACTATACAGGAATATCTGTTATTAGCTTAGTGGGGAGGTTATACGGTCGAATAATAAATGGAAGAATAGAATCAGAATACGAAGACATAGAAGAACAAAGTGGATTTCGTGCAGGAAGATCGTGCACTGATGGTGCATTCGTTTTGCAGCAGGTAATCGAAAAACGGAAGGCAAGAAATCCATCTACTTATCTATTTTTTGTAGATTTAGAGAAGGCATACGATACGGTACGATACGGTACCTTTAAAAAAACTGTTTCAAACATTGACGAAAGTAGGTCTCAGTAGAGAGTATATGGATGCTATCGCAAATATATACAAAAATACAAGAAGTGTCGTTAAAGAAGGAAACTTTATATCTGAATAATTTCCAACAGCAAATTGGCTTAAACAAGAATGCTGTCTATCTTATTTAACCTTATTTATAGTAGATATTCAATCATCGCTAGAGCAATGGAGGAAACAAGTATCCGGAATGGGAATAGACATAGGCAGTGGTAAATTTCTAATAATTTTATTTTTCGTAGATAATCTGGTCGTCGTAGCGAGTGATGAGGAAGACATGGACTACATGTTTAGAATACTAAAATATGAATGTGAAAAATGGGGCTATAAATATGTAAGACAGAGTATCTTAAAATAGGAGATGATGAAGAATATCCAGAGTTAGAAATTAGAAACACAAAAACATGCAATAAATATATCTATCGGATCTATAATATCTAAGGTAGGTGCTACCAAAGGAGACATTGAAAACTGAACACAGCAGGTAAAAAAAGCGGTAAACATTTTAAACTTTCTACTATGGTCTAAATATATTAGACAAGAAACAAAGTTAAAAATCTATTGAACCTTGGTAAAGCCTATTATAACTTATTAGGCAGAAGTTTGGCAGATCACAAAAAAGATAGAAAAAAAATATAAGTATAATATAATATAAGTCGAAATAGATTTTCTAAGGAGAGCGTGTGGTATATCCAAAAAAAACATTTTAGTAATGAAGATATTAGAAGAAGGCCAAATATTGTATATTCCAGTGTAGACAGAATCGAAACGAGACAATCAGTGTGGTATAGTCACGTGAAGGGAATGAATGGAGATATGTGGCCAAAAAAGCTTTTAATTACGTACCACAACAAAGAATAAGAAGGGTAACTTTCAGTTTTCTGGGAAGAAAATATTCGGCACATAATGGGAGATAGAGCCATCAAAGAAGACACATTAAATCATCAATCAAATACATTAGATGGGATTTAGGGCATTGGTTGTTTTTTTATTTTTTATTACACTTTTTTAGTAACTTGTTATTTTTTTGGTAATTTTGTTGTTTTATTTATTTTCTCTGATGATGAAACCTTTATCTTCGGTTTCATTTAGGTACGCTGCGAAAAAATTTTACAAAGTAAATGTGAGTTATATGAGTGTAATGTTAATGACTGTAAAGACATATTTATTTACGTTATATACCTATTTATGAGTAAAACTATAGTTTGTGTATAATTTGCATTTATTTTTTATTTAACAGTTAAATCCAGTAGGGTGAAAATTACAATAATCTTTGGCGCCTCCAGAAATTTTAATATTGGACCACTGCCAATTTGCGCATTTGTTGTCATTACACACGATGTGAACACCTCTAGCACCTTTTCCATGTATAGAACCTTCGACGTTAGAGACTTTGAGGTTGGTAATTTGAAAATCGCGGTGGGTATTGCCTTCATCTCCATAATCCTGGTTTATGTAAATTCCGTCTTTCTGCATTCCTACAATAATTATTTATATAGTTGTTTATAGCAAAAAATTAAAACTTAATATTACTTATAGCAGTTACCGCAGCGTTTCTCAACCTTTTACCATTTGCGATCCAATTATCAATCATTATTTTCATCGCGTCCCCTCTCGTACAATAACAATATATGTATGCAATAATTATATACATTGAGTATTTTGACGCTTAACTCACAGTAAAACCTTAATAGAGATAGAGAAGTAGATAACTTTGTTAATGGGCGTAAGGGAGCAATCGATACTATACTCTGTTTTTTTAACCAGGAGGAGTAAACCAAAAAGACACCCAAGAACTTTACTAGAAAAGTCGCCAAATACATTTTCTTTTTTGTTGATTATCTCGGCCTTGCGGTAATAAAAAAGGACGTTTTCCACATTTTTCACATTCATCTAAATTTGGTTTTTTAGATAAATTTGTCTTTTAATTTGCAAATAGATCCAATCAGTATGCAACAAAGCTATGCAAATGCATGTATCAAAAAGTTAGAGACAGTTCAAAGATTTCTGAAATACTGTTCTTTTAAACTGCGTAGACCATATTTTTATTCTGATGTGATTAATTTCTTGAACATAGGTTTTTTTTCTTACCAGAAGAGTTAATTTTGACTTTGATCATTATTTTTAAGCTTAATAATCCAATCTCCTGAATTGCTTCAGGCAATTTGTTTTACATACTCCTTCCCGTTCACTGCTTTTAAATTCACTTTTTCATATTTCCCATCACAGAATAATCGTCGGGTTACAAGCAAAATACACTAAGTCAGTTTTTGTCATTTTTGACTTAATTACATATTGATATTGCAATTTGTTTACTTTATGTACTAGCAAAATCCATTAAGTATTTTCTCATCCTTGACAACACAAAACAATAAAATTTTACATTCACTAAGTCTTTAACAACAAATTTTTGTTCAGGCAAAATCCATTAAGTGACTTAGTGTATTTTGCTGAAGGCAATTATTTGACATAGTGGATTTTACTGGTTAAATTTGGTTTTAAAACTCCCGTTAAAAACGATTTAGTATTTAGTATAAAATTTTTATACAAGTTTCAGCTTGCAAAATATTTCTTCCTCGCTTTATGTGTGGTTATTGATGAGTCAGTTGTGTCCCAGAACTTGAAACGAAAAGTTCATTATGAAACGTATTGACAATATATTTGCCAACGTTAAAAAATTGGAGAACGGTGAGTCACATAGTTTATTATTGTTAGTTTAGATTTGATTACAAAGTTTATTCTAATGTTAGTAAAATAAATTATTTCATTTTAGAAATACTTCAAATATTACCATCAAATAATGATAATGGAAATGAAAATCAAAAAACTTTTGCAACTTTAACACCTGTGGATCCTGGATCACTTGTCAACACTACAAAAGGTAAACTATTTTTTTTTAATTTCTCTTAAAACATTTTATTACGTTCATAGTTCATCCTTCAATATACATTCTTACGATTACTCTAAAACAACACTCACTCATTTTGTTTTATAATTAAATTTATTTTTCCTACTACTTATTATGATGTCATAGCTTCAGTTGCAAGTTGCAAAATTTTATTTTAATTATTTTAATACTTTCACCTTTCATTCAGTAATAGAGAGTTATTAAAAATAGTTAAGGACGACACTTTTTTAAAAAGTTTTTAATAAAATTTTATGCCATTATACAAATTGAAGTTTTTTACTTCTATGTAAGTTTTAGTATTGTTGTCAATAAAATTCAATTGTGTTTTAGATATACGTCACAGTTTACCAATTCCTTGCACATCACGAGTAGAAGTGTCGTCCCAATTGGATGAAGAAGTAGCGAATGTGTACGACTCCGATGATTCCATGAAAGATAGAGACTGGATACCGCCTGTTTCGTCAGACAATGAAAGTGATTGTTCGGAAAGGGAGGTGAGTCTAAAGAAAGAACAAAATTTGATAGTAGATGAAAACGTTGCAGGTCAAAAAAGAGAAAACCCAATAACAGAAGAGAAACGAGTAAGGTGGAACCAAGCGAAACCAGCGCTTTGGAAAAGAAGCATAGAAAGAAAAAAGAAGATTGAAGGTTTACCTTATAAAAGCAGAACAGGAAAAACGCAGGCACCAAAGCTACCTAAACCTGTTGATTGCTCTCGTTGCAGGTATAAATGCAGTAACAATTTTTCACCGGAGGATCGTACTGAATTATGTCGTACTTACTGGAATTTAGAATTTAACAGGCAAAGAGATTTTATATTAATGAACGTTTTGTCTAAAGAAGTGAAAACACGTAGACCTAGAAAGGGCAATGACAGCAAACAAAGAAATAATGCTAAAAACTACTTTTTAAGTAACAATCATAAGATACAAGTATACCAAAAGTTTTTCTGTGCAACACTCTGTATTTCAAATTTACCAATCATCAATGCATTTCAATATAAAAGTCAGAGTGGGGAATATGGAGGTGAAGACAATCGAGGTAAACATATTCCGTGCAACAAAACATCGGATGAAATTAGATTAAGAGTGAAAAATCATATTGAGAGTTTCCCAGTGATGGAAAGTCACTATACAAGGAAGTCAACAAAAAGACTCTACCTAGATAAAAATCTGAATATAAAAAAGATGCATGGTCTCTTTTTAGAAGATTGCCAAAGAAATAATATGCCAAAAGTAAGCAGCATTACTTACAGACGAATCTTCTGTAAGGAATATAATTTTTCCTTTTTCAAACCAAAGAAGGATCAATGCATGACTTGCAGCGAATATGAAAAGGCCGCTCCAGAGGAGAGGACAAAGCTGGAACAAAAGTATCAGATGCATTTAGAAAGAAAGGATGCAGCTATGAAAGAAAAAGAAGCCGACAAACAGAGAGCAACTGATGAAAATGGTTTCATATCCATTTCCTGTGACATGCAAAGTGTGTTACATATTCCAACATCTGAAATTAGTTTGCTTTATTATTTACGGAAACTAAACTTATACAATTTTACAATTTATGAATCTGCTCCACCCAATGACGCATTTTGTTATTTTTGGACAGAAGTAAATGGAAAAAGGGGTAGCTGTGAAATTGGCACCTGTTTGTCACTTTATATACAATCATTAACAGAGAATAGAAAAAATGTGATGCATTTAACTATCTTCTCTGATACGTGTGGTGGCCAAAATCGGAACATTCAAGTAGCCGCTGTATTGCTTCATACTGTCCAATGCCATCCAACCCTTGATGTCATTGAACAGAAGTTTATGGAGAGTGGGCATTCCTACATGGAAGTGGATTCTATGCACAGTTCCATCGAAACCGCCAAGCACAAAATAGATATTTTTAGTGTACATGAATACGAGAATATCTTTAGAATGGCAAGAAAAAACAGAAAAGGTGATAAATCTGCTTACAAAACAAGAGAAATTGAACATAACGAATTTTTGGATTTGAAGAAACTGGCTCAGATGATGATAATAAATAAAAACAAAGACTTTGAAGGAAATACTGCTAATTGGCTAAACGTGAAATGTTTTAGGTATCAAAAACAGTTGCCCAATGTCATTCAATATAAATATAATTTTGCAGATGAGTATAAAAGTATACATGTTAATTTTAAACGAACCCTTAGCAAGAGAAATGTTAAAGAGGACGTTTCAAAAATTCTAACTATTCCTAAATTGTACACTAAGCAGTTGCCAATTTCTGAAGCAAAAAAAAGGGACTTGGTGAAACTTTGTAAAAAAAATATTGTACCTCCTGCTCTTCACTGTTGGTACGAGAGTCTACCAACTTCAACCTTAGTAAGGGACAATGCAGCCGAACCATCATCTCTTAGTGATTCAGAGGATGAAGAAATACTATAAATTAAAATATCAACATTTTAAATAATTTTATACTATCATATTTTACTTAATAAAAAATCGTTTTTTAATTTTTTTCACTAATTTTCTATGAGGTTATTTAAGTACTTTCTATAAGACCAAACTTTAAAGTACGAATAAGTCAACAATGCGATTATAAAAGTACAAGCAAAATACATTAATTTTTCAGTTTCAGGTAAAACACATTAAGTCATTGCGAGGTTAACAAAAACTAGTTTATTATAGTTCTTCCTTTATTAGATTTAATATTTTTTTTATAAAAGATTGTTCTTAAAACATGTGTGAAGATATACAGAGTGGAGATTTTATTAAAAAAACTAACGCGGATCCTTAAATTATGAATAAGAAGATGAGTCAAATTTAAAAATGCAATAACTCAAAAGCCACTTTTTTGACTTAGTGCATTTTGCTTGTAACCCGACGAAATTATGGTTCAAATATAGGTGTAGTATTTTGGTAATCAGTTACCTCATTAGATAGATTTGTTTAACTTATGTATCAATATATTTAGGTTCTATTTGAAGCACTATAATGCAAAAAGATACTTTGTATAAATAAGTGTGTACTTCCAATTTTTTAATGCTGGATTCTTGAGTTTGTAACATTTGTAACCAATAAATAAAATTGACTAAAATTAACAAATTCAATCTATTATGTTACATTCAAGCATAATTGTGCAGTTTTCTTGTGATTATCTACAACCAGGAAGAACAAAACCAACTGCATCAATGCAATCAAACTAAAACACAATATTACTTTACTAATGTTCTTTTATTGTGATGAAAACAAATGAAAATGCTTCTTAACAATACTTTAAACAATACTTAGTATAAATATCATCTAGAAAAATATCACATTAAATAATATTCGCATATCACTAGTCTGCTTATATTCTTTAATTGTTTGGTTAATAGTTGAATTCGCAACACCTAAAATTAGCACATTACTTTAGTAAGTTTTGATTTTAATAATAACGATTCTGCAAAACTAACCTGCTGCCTGTTTTACTTTTGCTACCGTGGCTGTTATTTTCAATCCAGAATTATCAATTTTCATTTTTTTATACATGTTTATAAAATATTGTTTCTTATTTGTTGATAAATGACCCAAATCTACTCGGCGTTTTTAAGGTGGAGAA